AGAATCTTATGAACCATTTAAAGGGAGTGAGAAAAATTCCTAATTTGCAACTTCAAAAAGAACATGAAATTATTGGTTTGATTTGTAAAAAATGGATGGAAAGAGCTTTAATATGTTTTGAACTCATAGATATTCATTAATATTTTAATTACACGTGTTTACAATGTTAGAATTTGATTTGGATTGAAATGAATAATGATTTGCTTATCATATTGAGAAAATGAGTATTTACTCGAGTGAGCCATTTACCTGAGTAAATGACTCAAGAATAATTTACTAGAGTAACTTTTTATATTTACTCGAGTTAATGATTTTCAAAAGAATTTCAGCGATTATAAACATCTATATTTTGTTAAGTGATTCCACTGCATCTAACACTTTCATCTAACACTTTCCTTCTCATTCTCAATCATTTAAAGTCTGAGCTTGTTTATTGTAAAAATCATACACCCATAATGTTTCAACTTATAATACTCACACTTTGTAAGTGTATATTATTTCCTAAAAATGTTCCAAATTGCATTTTCATGATTTTGATGGTCGAGAAACCCAAAGGTAATGTATGTTTTCCAAATACTTGAAAATTTGATGGATTGTAGCGGTTTGTTCAAGCACTCCTTGAAGCTTGACAATTAGTGAAAAAATTATGGGTGATTTGTTCAAGGATTGAACGTAGGTCACAAGTTATGGTAATCAAAATGTGATAAATAGATTTTGCAATATTCTCAACCCCTACTCTATAATTTTCAACAATTTAACCATTTATTGAATATCTTATTTGTACTTGTATAAAATATATACTTGTATTGGTTGTTATGTTATGAGTGTCATATTTATTAAATAAACATGTCATGTATGCAAGTTTACATTAAATTATAATTTGTACTTAAAAAGGAGGCCTTGTGAAAATTGTTTAGACACTCAATTTATACTCTCTTAAGTATAAAAACTAAAATCTTTATTACTTTGAATGAAGTTGGAAAAATTATATGCTTATGACACAAGTAACAAAAAAATACAACCAATGGTAATTAGTTTGATTTCTAAGAGTTTGCAACTCCCGAAAATGGTGAACAAACTCAAATCTAAAATTGGTCCAGTTAGGATTTCAGATATCAGTTGATATCTAAAAATAATAATATGACCATTTCTTTGTAAAACTTACCTAAAAATTTAGTACAAGCCTAATTATTAGGGATATATATATATATAGTCATTATTATTTTACACCGGTGTAAGTTATACTTTTAATCTTGATCGTTGATCTTATATATATTGAACGATTATGATTTGTTAGATACTTGAGTTGTTAGATATAAACAAATCAATAATCAATATTTGTGTAAGACTTCTTATTTTTACACCGATGTAAGAATATCATGTCATATATATATATGGGCATGTTCTTTTTACACCAATGTAAGACTAACAAATCTTACACCACATTTCAACCGTTGATGGACGAAAATCATCGGTTGGTATTTTTAGTGTAATTAATGATTAATTCATATAATTTCCTAAATTATAACCATTGGATATACGGAAATCAACGGTTCAGATGTGATATAAGACTTATTAGTAGGGTGGTGTATTGGATTATGATTTTAAAAGATTTTTTTGAGATAAAAAAATCCTACATATTTTAAAAGACATTTTAAAATTGGAGAGACTTTATAGACTTTTTTAAAAGACTTTTTTTACAATCAAAATTTCATAGGATTGAATTTTAAAGGATTTTAATAGAATTCATAAGATTTGAAAGGACAATACGGATTTATAAGATTTTAAAAAATTATATGAATTTTTAGCAAATATTCAAAATTACAAGAGTCAATAAAAACAAATAACAAAGAAATGCAATGATATTAATATAAAAAAGTAAACTTAACAATGCGTTGAAAATTATCTCAAAAATTACTAAGCAACAACTCTCTACATATCAATAAAATCTAATATAATTTTCTCAATGAGTTTGAGTTTGAGTTTGATTTGCGAAAATAATAACCATATATCAACGGTTAACTTCCAAGTTAAATATTAATTAATGAGTTTGATTTGTGAAAATAATAACCATTGATTGACGGAAATCAACGGTTAAAATATGGTTGTAAACAAAAATAGGTTGTAAGTATAATATTCCCCATAAAAAAATAACAAAGAAATGCAATGAAATTAATAAAAAAAAGTAAATCTAATATAATTTTCTCAATCAGTAAAACATCATATAATTTTTAACAAACATTCAAAATTACTAAACAACAACTTTTCACATATCTAATGGGATGAAAATTATCTTCTTCATTTGGTATCAAAGTTATGCATATATGATTATAAGACCCAATTTTTTTAATTATAAAAATAATTCTAAATTTGCATATAGAACCTAAAGTTCATGATAAAATTTTATTTGCAATTTTTTGCAATTGATCTTGAAAATCTTGGACTTTTTGTTTTACGTGATGAGAGTTTTTTTAACCATATATCATAAGTATATTTTCATTGAATATTCTAAGAAAATTTTGAATCTGAAATTTTAGGTTTAATTACATGAAAGTTTAGAAAACTTCTCAATTTTTTTTGAGTCGATACATTGAAACCTTAAGTTGCTTTGGTGCTTTTGAGAAACAAATTTTTAGTTATCTATTGAAACAAAAATTGTTTGAAATCGTTTCCTTTAGTGAAGGAATTTCGTTCATGAATGTATTGTTACGAAATATAGTATTCATATTATGAAAGTTTCAATCTTTCTTTAAATTGATATTGCTTCATTGATGTAAAACGAAAATTGGTTTGAGGGTTTTAGTTTCCCTGTTATTTCTTCACTGTGTTATGTTGTTTTTAATACAAAAATCACACGTTTTTGTGCCAAGAAAAACCGCGACCCATAGCTTGAATAATCACTTTTGAGATAGATTATGTTATTTTTGTGCCAAAATTCTCAAAAATAGCTCAAAAATATGTTATTTTTAAGATAGATTATATTAAAATCTCGTTGGTTTGTTGTTTCTGGGTTGTTTTGTGATGAAAATCGCTCAAAAATATGTTTTTTCTTGTTTTGACGAAACTTCCATGGCGGAAACCAATTTCGAGCGTCAACCTGCCAAAGAAAGAAGAAAACACTGCAACAAAAGAATCTCAAGAAATCATAGGGCTTGGGGGTGAGATTGTGAGAGAGACATTCTATTTATATTTTTCACTAAAAAGTCTCACGAAATCCACACCAATAGAAAATCCATTAAAATCGTCGGATTTTTGAATACCACGATATTGTGATTCCATTGTTTAAAATCCTGATTGAATACCAACGGATTTGGACGGATTTTAAAATAATCCTTTAAAATCATAATCGAATACCATCGGATTTTTTGTTCCAAAAACAATCCATTAAAATCTTTTGAAATCTCAATCCAATACACTCTTTTACACCGGTGTAAAATGATCCTGATATATATATATATATATATATATATATATATATATATATATATATATATATATATATATATAAAGAGCGAGAGAGAAGTCAAATTTTTTTATCTGTTTTTTGTGTCCTTTTTTCTTTCTGTAGATGAATAAATAAAGTTAGAAATTCTAAGTAAGTTAAAACTCTGATTAGCTGCACAAATCAATTTAACTACGATGATAATGTTCGAACCACAAAGAATCTCACCATGGAACCCATACTCAGGATTTTGTGCATCAATTAGGTATAAGTCATCATCAACCACAAAAGAGTAGATTCTTTTAAGTGACTACATAAAGACTATTATTCTAGATTGTTTGTTTGGATTAAATTTTATAAACATTATTTCAAATGAATTTATTTTTATTAACTTAATTTCATTTAATTATAAGTAAGTTATTAAAAATTGATATTATATAATATATTATTATTTAAATAACGTTGATCAAAATCATTTTAAATATATAATAATAAATAATAAAAATTTCATACTGCTTTATCTAAACTATCCAGCTATTTATTTTTTCACCATACATTAACGAATAAATGTTGTTATAGGAGTTTTTCACGTTTTCAACAATTTTATTTTTTCAATACATATCTCCTCATGTTCCAAGAATTAAGTACACATTATAACACTGTAAAAATAATAATTTCCACCTATAAAATCATAATGATAAATATGCAAATCACGAAATTAAAATTGAAATATATTATTATAGGAAAAAATGTGTATCATTTTAAATGATCAAGTTGTGTCATTTCATAAACACAAAAAAATATGAGTCTTACTAAAAAAATATAAAGTTATAAGTCTTATTTTTTGTGTTTATGAAATGATGCAACTTACGTCGACATACACTTTTTCTATTATTATATCAAATATGGATTTGATTTTTTTAATGTTATAAAAAATAAAACTATCTTTTATTTTTTACGGGCATATAAAAATACTGAGGTTAATGTGAAAAGAAAAGAAAAATTAAACATTATATATTTTTACATGTGTAATAGATAATTTTATTTAAGATGATAGATAATAAACCCATCAAATAATGGGTATCGTGACATGTCAATGCGTTTTCGATTCCTGATTGGCTCCTCGTATACATCATTGTACGGACGAGGTTGATGTGTTTCTAACATTGTACTATTTCTTCAGTTTTTAACTGTGCTTGGGCCCCACAGTTCGTGCAATCGTGCTACTGCAACCTCACTTTTTTTCTCTCTCGGTCCCCATGCTGGAGCAGTGGCGAAAAGGGGTATAATAATATATAAATATTATTTTACTAAAGTTTTCATTCTCCTTTAAATTTTTTTGTTTATTTATTTTTGATTGGATCATTTGCATCATCATTTTATAATATTTCCAAAATCTATTCCTTTTAACTAAACGTTTCTTTTTTGGGGCCCATATAGTTGAGTCTTTTTACCAAAACAAGAAAAGGATGAGGTTTCAATTTTCTATTACCATAAATCTTTTGTTTCTTAATATGGTGGGGCTCTTAAAACCAATGGGGATAGGTGGATGAATAAGGAAAGTTTTTTCTGTGGCTATATACTTCACTTTTTCTGGGTTTCTCTGCAGTTTGCTCTCTTTTGGGTGCTTCCTTTCCTTTTTATTCTCAACTCTTATTTCTTCCCTTTTTCGATGCATAATAAGCCTTTATTCCTTCTTCATTGGTCAAAAGATTTCTGGGATTTTTCCAATTTCGTGTAAATCTTATTCCTTTTGACAAAACACAAACCCCTTCTCTTTCGCTTATTGAGGATTACTTGAAGTTGAAGTTGCTTTTCTACCTGCAGGTAAGTATCAATCCAATCATTTATATATGAAAAAAATATATATTTGTTTCCATTTGTTTAGATCCTTTTTTTGGAAAGGATATTGGGTTTCTTTCCATAGAAATCTACATATCTAGGCTCTCTCTGCTTTAAAAACTTTTTTGGGTTTTAATGGTTACCCTTTGATGAGTTATGAGTTATTCTAATCTGTTGGAATCTTCCATGTGTTGCATCTTTCTGAAAAGGTTCAATTTTGTTGGAAATTTCTTACTTCATGTAGTGTGTGTACTTGTTTCAATTTACTATTAGACAAGCATTTTCTGAATTTCATATACCTTTAATTTCTCTGTGTGGTGGGTTGGACTTGGATTCACAACAACAGATCAAGAAGTAGAGTATAGATGGTGAGAGGAAAGACTCAGATGAGGCGCATAGAGAACGCCACAAGCAGACAAGTCACTTTCTCAAAGCGGCGTAATGGGTTGCTGAAGAAGGCTTTTGAACTATCTGTTCTTTGTGATGCTGAGGTAGCTCTTATCATCTTCTCTCCAAGAGGAAAACTTTACGAATTTGCAAGCTCCAGGTATGGATCGATCCTCAACATTTATTACAAATTTGTTTGTGTTAAGAGTTCGTTTAATCTTGTCGGCTAGTAAATTTCATGCATACTTATATATGTATTTACTTTTACACCATATAATATATACGAGACTCAACTAGTCAAGATTCTCATTATAGCCACAGAAGTACAATGGTGGATTAGAATTTAGATAGGAGATAAGGAATTTTATTTGATATTATTATTATTATTTTTATTTTTTATAACCTCATGAGTACGGTGGTACAGGGAATTATATGGATAGAGGCTAGAGCATTTAAGGATTATATTTGACGTTATGTTTTTTCTTTTTTTCTTTTTCTTTTTTGGGGCTACGTGGAGCTCATCAGGAGTTTTACATTTATGATATATGTCGGTTTAAATGATTAGGGGAAGCCTTGAATATTTGATGAGTTTTACATATACATTGAAGCTAATTCTATAGCTCAGCAAACAAAACAAGTAAATAATCTAATCTGAAAGTGATACACATAACTATACTTAAGTACTTGGCTTTTGGATTTGAGTACTATTTGTTTAAAACTTCACAATTCTTAATACATTTATGGGTGGAGTAAACTGTGTTGGAATTGAATCAAAGGGTCATGAGCTTACCTAAGTGTAAAACTTTTGGGTTAATAAACCAGCAGTACCCCACTTCCCCACCCCAACATAACAAAAGAGGAAAAATGCTTAAATTAATTGTACTTGTCCTTCAGTAATATGAATGAGGTATCCCATGTAGGTTATAGTGCTGTATCATATGTACTAAAACACTGACATCCAATTTTCATGAGAGAGACACAGTGGAGAGAAAGGGTTCTTATAAGTTATAATGACATGCACCGCATAACTATGATTATATGCCTCCTGCAATACCTTTAAAGAATAAAGGTCAGGACTCACACTTCTGTTATCATCAAAGAAAGTGAGTTAACTTTGTTCAAATGATATAATTTGTCAAAAAGAAAAGAAAAACATAAACTCCACCAGCGAGGAGCTTGTGGAGTTCCATGAAATAATGTGCAGTGATAATGTGATATCACCACAGTTTTCAATACAACTAGAGGCACACTGACGAAAAAATATAATATACTACCATAATACTTACGTCCCACTTATAGGAGCATAATACATTTGTTGACATGTTTATTGAGGAGAGAAAAAAAAAAAAACATAAATACATAATTTATAATTTCATTTTGAATGGAAGTCGTATTGAGTGCGACGGTAATATCAAAGATATTCTCCACACTAACCTGGTTACGAGGCTGCTTATATTTTCATTATTATAATCATATAATAATAATAATAAGAACTTCTTAATTATGGTTTCAAAAGTGCAACCTTTTATTTAATTTGGGTCTTAACTATTTATTTAATAATCAAAGTTCTAGTCAATATTATTGTGTGATGTGAGAGTGTTTAGCTTTAATTACTTTCAAAAATTTTGAAGACAACAATTGTGTAACATATACATTACACTGTTAGAATACGACTTCTGTCCTTCCTATTACTTTTTTTTGGCTTAGAATTGATTAATGTTTTGAATCTTAATATGTACTTGCATGTCTTTATGTGCATCATTAACACAACAAAACAAAAATAATAATAATCAAACTTCTACAGGTAAAACGCTACAATATATATATATATATATATATATATATATATATATATATATATCTTCCTTCTATAGTTTCTTTTCTTTTCTTTTTTTAGTATACCGAACCTAATTTCCTCTTTGAGGCGAGTCGACTCCCCGGATATTCTTACAAACTTCAACTCTTTAAATCGGTTATGTAACTAATCCTAAATCAAAGCTTATAGTCACAGTTTGCTTTCTTTGATTCGTTGTAGTGGTGAATCAACTTTCTTATGGTCCTCCACACAAGTTGAAATAAGAATAATTATTAATATGAAGAATTCGATATGAATTGTGCGGGAGGAGCAACCTTAGTACTTCAAGTGAGAATTAGGTTGGATTATCGAATAAATTGACATGCTGACATCCCTTTAATTATATATATATAAAATAATATACATAATAAAAATTATCATAAAACAAGTATCAAAATTAACTGAAAATTATCTAGTAAGGGAATGCTTCATTGAGGCAAGATAAAAAAACCTTGGGGAAAAAATATAGGTATATAAAGCCCACGATGAAGCTTATTGCACCTACATAGTCATTATAGTTGGCCGTTAGTCGAATCAAATCTTACTTAGGCTTTGCTTAATCATCATAATATACACAGTACATGCTTTAATTCAATTAGAGAGTAAGCCCATTTTCTTTGTTTGAAGTTTGTGAATAGCTCAAACTTGATGAGTCACGCTTGAATTCTCTTCTCATTGAGCCTTTCAAGTTTAAAGATGTTATAATTGTTGGTATAGAATTACTAAGAATCCAGCCCAAAGATAGAAGATACACAAGAGAAAACGTAAAGACCAGAGACGCCAGAATTTACTTGATTCAAAAACTCAGAGTGAGTGAGTTTCCTACGTCCAAGAGACCTAAGAGGGTTAAATTTCCTCTAATATGCACTTTTATTCAATAACATAACTAGGTACAAGATTGTTTAACAGTCTTAAGCATATAACTCTACACATATAGCATATACAAACTATATAACAGAGAAATAACAACAATATTACAAAGATACGTCACATGTACACTAACTACAGTACATATAACATCAATTTTCAAACAAAACCGAGATAGGAGAAGGAAAAATTTCACCAATCTTGCATTCAGCTCCACCAAACCAGTGGGTCACTTCATGTAAACTCACAATCTCTTCTCCTCCAAAGAGAACTCCACCATCCACCACCTTCTCTCAGCCTTTTGGATGAAACTCTAGAAAGCAAACCGATCAATCGATGTATTTCAAGCTAAGAAACAACTTTCTCAACAAACCTGAAATGAGAATCTTAGGTTATCACCCTCAAATCAGCCTCACAAGCTCTCGAAAGAAAAAACCCTATCAGAGGTAATTTGGGAACACCAGAGAGAGAAGAGAGTATGGAAGATTCAAGAGATACGCCACATGTGTAAGGGGCTCCCAATATGCAACTGGTAATGGTATATTAGCCTTCACAACATGTAACGATAGCGTTTTAGCTATGTTGCTAAAAATACCACAGTACGAATAAAATGGAGTTGGGCCTCAGAAAGTGGCACTAAAATCACTGGCCTACAAAACATAATATAAGTATATACATACAAGGTAAAACAATTGCAGTGATTTTAATAACATGTATAGAGGCCTAAATGTTTAGGAAATAATAAACAACAAATCTCCACCTATTTACTAAACATACAACAAAACAAAGTGCACACCAAAGTTTTTCTGGCATTTAACCCAAGGTCCATATGCAATGCAAGCAAATAAGGTGATTTTATTTTTAGGAAATTCAAAGCATCCCTAAATTTACTAGCACAAATAGTTTTTGTTAAAACATCAGCAGGATTAATTGCAGTAGAAATTTTAATTATAATTACCTGAACATCACCAATTATTTCCCTAATAAAATGCAACTAACATTATGAAATGCTGAGTTTTTTGACAAATGAATAGCTGATTGAGAATCACACATTACCTTAGGTGGGTGCTTGCCTAAACCCAACCCATAGACAATCTCATGTAGCCACATTGCCTCCTCGACAGCTTTGGTAATGGCTACATATTCTGCTTCAGTTGTGGAGAGGGCCACAATGTTCTTTAGGCTTGACTTCCAGCTCATCTCATTTTCTCCCACAGCAAAAATAAACCCAGTTAGTGATTTTCTTTTATCTAAGTCAGCATCATAATTAGAGTCACAATAACTTGTAATTTCAAAATTATTAAAATTTTCAATCGAATAATTCAAACAACAGATAATTGATCCACTGAGATATCTCAACAACATTTCACAACATTCCAATGTTCCTTAGATGGTTCACTCATGTATCTACTCGTTACACTAACTCTATATGCAATATCTGGCCTAGATCCTATCATGACATATATTAAACATCCAACAACATTTGAATAAAGTATATTGCACAAATATTCAGCCTCATCAAAGGCCAACTCACCATCAACAACCTTTAATCTGAAGTGACCACCTCAAAGAACACTTACGGGTTTAGCTACGTACATATGAAAGTTCTTCAAGACCTTTTTCACATATTCAGATTGGAAGAGAGTAAGTTTCCTCTTCTCTCTTATCCTTGTAATGTCCATGCCAAGTATTCTCTTGGCTGGACCAAGGAATTTCATCTAAAATTCCTTTTTCAGCAAGATTTTCAATTTATTTATCTCACCTAAATTCTTTGATGCAATGAGCATATGATCAGCATATATCAACAAGTTTAACAATCATCATGCAAATGTTTATAATATAGACAATGGTTTAAGCTACTATTAAATCCTTTAGACAAATCAAAGTCATCAAACCTCCTATACCACTGTGAAAGGGCTTATTTTAACCTATAAATAGACCTTTTCAAAAGGAAGAATTTATTTTTTGTCCCTTTTTCAATGAATCCTTCGAGTTGCTCCTTGAAAATTTGCTCTTTGAGGCTGGCATGAAGGAAGACAGTTTTGATATCCAACTGCTCCAATTCTAAGTTATGAATGACAACAACTAAAGTATAAGCCTCATTGAGACATATTTCACAACAGGGAAATATATTTCATTATAGTCTAGCCCCTCAACTTGTGAAAAACTCTTTGCAACAACCCTAGCCTTAAGCCCAACCGCTTCAACCCCTGGGATTTCTGGCTTTCTCTTAAAAATCCACTTGCATCCAATGAAATTTTTGTCCTTTGGATGCTCCACCAAAAACTAAGTTTTATTTTTTTTCAAGATACTTCATCTCCTTTTTCATGGCTTTCTACCAATGAACTTTAGAGTCCAGCCTCATAGCTTCTTTGTTTGAGTTGGGTTCATTATACTCAAGCACATCTCCAACTTGGAGTGCAAATGCAATCACATCT